TAGTAAATTACACTAATCTCTAAAATTTGACACTTAATCTTGGGTAAAAATTGTTTATTTGTTTTGAATTGTGATATTTATATTTATAAAAATGAGTTTAAAATAATTAAACTCTCTTAATTTGTGTATTAGCTTTTTATTAGATTTAATATTTTTTTGTTTTTTATTATACTTGTGTTTTTATTTCTTCTATTTTTTTTAATTTCCCTCCCTCATTTTTTTACATTGAAAATTTGCTTTTAAAATTGATTTTTTCCTTTACTTATACAAAGGTTGGTTGTAATATTAATTTGTTAAAAAAATTTTTTAAAAAGTCTGAAAATGCAGCCCTCCAAATAAAATACTTGGAAGGAGAAAAATTAGCAGCGTAGAAGGGTTTTTATACCTGCTATCGAAAAATGCTTCGATCATAAATTCTCTATCGTTTTTTTTATTTTTAGCATTTGCTTTAATTATTTGTTAATTTATTTTTTACAATTACTTATTTTTTTCTTCATTTTTTCCTTCTAAATAACTTATTAATTATATATTATTTCTTCAAGTAGAAATTAAATTGGTGCTTAAGGTATTTCAAGCTTAGGTCATGCTCTAGGAAATTGCACTAATCTTTCAAGTTTGGCACTTGATCTTGGGTAAAAAGAGTTTATTTGTTTTGGATTATGATACTTCTATTTTTAAAAATGAGTTTAAAACAATTAAATTCTTTTAATTTGTGTATATACTTTTTATTAGATTACATATTTTTTTTATTTTTATTGTACTTGAGTTTTTATTTTCTTCTATTTTTATTAATTTCGCTTGTTTTTTTATTTTAAACATTTGCTTTTATTATTTGTTAACTCATTCTTATAATTTTATCATTTTTTCCTTCAATATAACTTATTAATTTTTTATTTTTTCTTCAATATTTAAAAAGTTACTATTAAATTGGTGATTAAGGTACTTCAGACTTAGGTTCTGGTTTATCAAATTGCACTAATCTCTCAAATTTGACACTTTATCTTAAGTAAAAAAGTTTATTTGTTTCGAAATTGGAAATTTCTATTTACAAAAATGAGTTTAAAACAATTAAACTCTTTTAATTTGTTTATTAGGTTTTTATTAGATTTACTAATTTTTTTATTTTTTATAGTGCTTGTGTTTTTATTTCTTCTATCTTTCTTAATTCCATTTATTATTTTATTTTCAACATTTTCTTTGATTATTTGCTAATTCATTTCTTAAAATTTCATATTTCTTCCTTCCTTCTAAATAGCTTATAATTTTTTTATTTTTACTCCAATATTTAAAAAGTGAAAATTAAATAGGTGATTAAGGTATTTTAAGCTTAGGTTCTGCTTTAGCAAATTGCATTAATATCTCAAATTTGACACTTCATATTGGGTAAAAACTGTTTATTTGTTTTGGATTGTAATATTTCTATTAATAAAAATGAATTTAAAGCAATTAAACTTTTTAATTTGTTTATTAGCTTTTTATTATATTTATTTATCTTTTTGTTTTTATTTGTGTTTATGTTATTATTTCTTCTATCTTACTTAATTAATCTTGTTTTTTTAATTTTCAACAATTGCTTTTATTATTTATTAATTCATTTCTTATAATTTCATCATTTTTTCTTTCTAAATATCTTATTAATGATATATCTTTTCTTCAATATTTAAAAAGTAGAAATTAAATTGGTGATTAAGGTACTTCAGATTTAGGTTCTGCTTTAGCAAATTTCACTAATCTCTCAAATTTGGAACTTTAATTTATGTAAAAATAGTTTATTTGTTTTGGATTGTAATATTTCTATTTATAAAAATGAATTTAAAATAATTAAACTATTTTAATTTATTTATTAGTTTTTATTAGATTTATTTATCATTTTCTTTTTTATTGTACTTGTGTTTTTATTTCTTCTATTTTTTTTAATTTCCCCCTCATTTTTTTCATTTTTAAAATTTGCTTTTATTATTTGTTAATTCATTTCTTACAATTTCATATTTTTTCTTAATTTTTTCCTTCTAAATAACTTATAAATTATATTTTTTTTCTTCAATATTTAAAAAGGAGAAATTAAATTGGTGATTAAGGTACTTCAAACTTAGGTTTTGCTTTAGCAAATTGCACAAATCTCTAAAATCTGACACTTAATCTTATGTAAAAATAGTTTATTTGTTTTGGATTGTGATATTTCTATTTATAAAAATGAATTTAAAACAATTAAACTTTTTAAATTTATTTATTAGCTTTTTATTAGATTTATTTATCTTTTTGTTTTTTTTTTGTACTTGCGTTTTTATTTCTTCTAACTTTCTTAATTTCATTCATTTTTTAATTTTAAACATTTGCTTTTATTATTTGTTAATTCATTTCTTATTATTTCATCATTTTTTCCTTCTAATATATAATTAACTTTTTATTTTTTCTTCAATATTTAAAAAGTGAAAATTAAATTGGTGATTAAGGTATTTCAGGCTTAGGTTCTGCTTTAAGAAATTGCATTAATCTCTCATATTTGAAACTTTATCTTGGGTAAAAATAATTATGAGATTTCTATTTATAAAAATGAGTTTAAAACAATTAAACTCTTTTAATTTCTTTATTAGTTTTTTATTAGATTTAATTATCTTTTTATTTTATATTTTGCTAATGCTTTTTTTAATAAATTTTAAATATAATTTTAATTAAAAATTTTATTCTTTTTAATTTTTCATAAGTATTCTATTTTAATTTAATATAATATAAAAATAGAAAATAAATCAATGTATAATAATAATTAAAAGTAAAAAATAAATGTCTTAAATCAAAAAGATTAGTTGTCTTTAAAATATATTTTTGGTGATAGACAGACAAGTGATGAAAAAGGATGAATAAATATTAAATATATGACTAGTAAAAAAAATATTTTTTCTTATATAATATTTCGTAAGATAATTTTACCAAAAATATCAATAGATAGATAGATAGATTTAATTTTATTTTTATATTAATATTTATTTTGGTAAGTTAGTAGATGGCTTATTAAATAAATGAGAATTCACAACTTAAATTTTTAATTAGATGAATATCTCTAAAACAAGCAAGTCCTCTGTTTTGTTTTGACCAAAAACAATCAAAACTTTTAATATAAAATATAATCCTCTATAATGTTAAGAAATTTGAGGGGTAACAAATAAATTGCAATAAAAAGCACTATTTGATTTCTACATAAGGTTTCCAATCATGGAATCTAATATTTCTTGATAACTAATTAATTAATTAATAAATTGAAATTTAGGAGTTGCCTTGATGATTTTTCACTCTACAAATGAGAGATTCTTTTTATTCAGATTTTTAAATCTTGGTAAGTTTTGATTAACCATTTTTGATATCTTCTTGTTTCTGATCTGTACGGAGACTGAACACCTCTAAAAATTTACAATCAGAAATATTCTTAATACAGCAGGTTTCAAAAGAAACCTAGCAAAGATATAACATAAGTCACATTTGTCACCGAATGAAATCAGTATATTTGACTCATTTTTATATTTATACTTATTAAATTTATTTTTATAATACATACATATCCATTTTCATATTTTCATTTATCTCAATTTATTTTTTTAAATTAATTCTTCAAGAATTCTGAATAAATTATTTTCAGAAATCTAGTATATTTAAAAAACTATTTAAATAAAAACAGTCTACAAACATAAAAATGAAAAAATTACAAGTATAAAAAAAAATTTATTATTAATTAATTAAATGAAGAAAATATTGTCTATTTATCATTCATTCTAATTTTTTCTAAGTGTTAAGATTTTATTGCTTAAACTTATTTGGAGCAATAATATTATCGAAAATCATATTTTATGCCATTTCATGCTTTAGAAATTAATAAATTATTAAATTAATAAATTAATATTTTAATAAATTACCTTATTGAATTCTTATTCAAATATTAAAGTACTTTCATGTGAGCTTTCAAGTTGAATAGGCTTTTTTCATATTAATTTAGGGTTTTTAATTATTTAGAAAAGAATTAAATTTTTTACATTCTATGTGATAGGAATATTTTTATAATTTCCAGTTTACTAGGATATTAAACTATTTGAATGTTATTAATTATTTAAGCTCTAATTTAATAATAAATAAAAATAAAAATTATTATTCAAATTTGTTTAAATTTAAAGATATTATTAACATTTAATACAAAATTTACCAGATTTTTGTTGTCTTTTAATGATATTTGTATATTTTCAAAGATTTCTTGTTATTCTAATTTTGTTTACTTTTGAGAAAACTCCAATTTTAGATTATCATTTTTTACTTTTAAATTTTTTTATAAATAATTCTATTTTAGAAGGTTATTTGAAGAAAAAATAGGAGATTTTAAATCTTGAATTTCACTTTTTAAATTATAATTTATTTATTCTAAGTTTTCATTTTTCATAGTTTTTTCTGTCTTTTACTAATTGTGAATATTTTTATTTTTTAATGAAATATTTTTAATATTTAAAATAACTTTTTTCCAAAGAAAATGAACTCTAATAAGCTTAACTTACCTTATTCTGAATAATCTCAAAAAATTAGGGTATTTTTATTTTAGTTTTAAAAATGTTTTTTTTATCAAATTTGCTATTGGCTTTGATTTTTCTTTTTCGAAATTAATTTATCCAACAAGAATGATAAAAATAATTTAAATCGAGCTAATATTTATTAGAAATATCACAACTAAAATGATTTGGCTTAAAATTTTGCTTTCAGTAAAATCATTTATAATTACAAAAAGCATCAAATAGCTATAAATAAGCCTCTGCATCAAAATCTTCTCTTCTTAGTAAATATTTATATTCTAATAAGGCTTATTTCTTTATAATTGCTAATTATAAAAGGAAATCAAGCAAATTATTAACATGAGTTTTATATTATCTTCCAAAACTATATTAATTAGTATCATCAGAATGAATTTATAAAATATTTTAACAATTTCCCAATACAGAAAATAATTCTTATAACCAGTATACAAAAATCCATATTTAATGATATTTTCTACCTTCTAAGATATTTATTAATTTTATTAATCAACCTTTTATAGCTATTTAAGCTTAGAATACAAAAAATAAGGAACAAATAAGCAGAAAGTAATTATTAAAGGAATAACTATCGTTGCAGCATATAATAAATGATAATAGTCATAGCATTCTTAGCTATAATCAGACGTTAAGTAGTATTTGCTTCCAATTTTTATGCATATCAAGCTTTCAATCAGTATTTTAGACTATAAAATAATAAAATTTATTAAATTTAATTTAAAAATAAAAAATAAAGAAATCTTTTTCAATTTTTTAGCTGTAATAAATATTTTTTTTATTTTATAAAAACCATTAAAATTAAAATTTTAGCTAATTACTATTGGTGGTTGATAGAAAATGTAAATGAAAACTAAGGTCATTTTAACCATTTGATGGAATTTTTAAAGAGCTTATTCCCTCTTTCTATATGATCTAAGCTATTTAATCAGTAATAAAATAAGTGTTAAGAGACAAATAATGATTATTGAAAAAATCTAAGTTATTATTCTATTAAGCCACAAAGGATATTTATCATTTATTTTAAATAAACAGTCGAAAGAAGTGATTGTTATTTTAATAGGATTTCCCAACAAATTTACAGGAGTTGATAAGATATGTTCATTTAATATGTTAAAGTTAGCCATACATGACAAAATCTACAAATAATTTATGAAGATTTTGTACCATAAAGAAATCTCATTTGCAGATGAACTCAAGTTACTTGTTATAAGTAACTAAATTTATTTAAAAATTTTTAACTTCATAATTCTTATTTTAGAGGCAATAATATTCTATTAACTCAATGCTATATAAAATACATAGAAAAAGATAAAAAAGCATGCGAATGCTATTTAATTTAGTTGTTAGCTGCAAGGAAAGCAGTTTTAATCTTTAAGACCATACTATTTACCCCAGACCTTATTTTTATTATCGCAGCTATTGCAAAGAGGACCTACAAACCCAGTTAGGCATCCATTTTTACTTTGAGGATTATTAAATGAACAACTATCTAATAAACAAGTGTAAATCTAATCTGTTAAATTACTCTCTCTCCAGTAGCCATCCTTTAACTAAATTTCAGATCCTTAACAGAAATGAGCTTATTCTGGACATGATACACATTCAAGTTTATTGATATTATTCTGCATGTCTGGAATTTTTAATGAGTATCTCCCTACAACACATTAACTGCACCTATAAAAATTTTAAATTCATTAATAAAATAATTTGAAATTAATTAAATAATTACTAAATGAATTAATTGCTTTCTTAAATAATCTCTCCTATTGTGCAGTTCCTATAATACAAGTGTAATGGAATAGATAGAAATACACCTTATTAAAACTAATTAGAAATAATGCTTATTGTTTGATTTTAAGATATTTTGTAAAATGATTAAAAGTTTAATTCAAACATTCCTATTGTTTTATTAATCAAAGCACTCATTCCCTCCTAAATAATAATTTAACTATTATTTTAAATGTTAAGCTAAAAGTAGAATTAGCTTCTATCATAAAAAATATCAGGTCCTACAAAGTTGAAAGGATTGTTTTCCTCATCTATAAAATTTAAAAATAATTTTTTATCTAAGTAATTTCCGCTAGCAATATTGTAAATTGAGTATTCATCTATTATTTTTAGAGAATCTAAATGAGGTTTATTTGTTATTCCTACATTTTATGGAATTGATCCAATATTTTACCCATAGAAAGAGGCTATTTAAAAAAAATAAATAAATATTGTTAAATTAAATATTAATTTTAAATAAACATTTTAAAAAAGCTTTTATCCTTAATTTAATATTAATTCTATTTATCATAAATATTCATTTAGTAAAACCCAAATATAATCCTTCCTTATTTTAAAAATCCCCAGAATTCCCAACTTGACCTGCTAAAAGTTGAGAGCAGAGCTGTAGAGGAAATAAGGAATTTGGGTATGTAAAATTTAATAAATTTTTCAGAGTTAATGATTTATTTATTATTAAAAAAATTAAATAAAAGCTTTACCTTTATTATACTGAAAGATTATATTATTTTATAGAAGATTAAATTTTTTAATCAAATTAGAATTAACTTTTTAATAGTAAATGGAACCTCCAATGCTTGCTTCATTAGATGAAAATATATCATCCGAAAATTATAAAATGTCGCATGTATCTAATGAAATTGCTCCACCATTTTAGAATAAAGCTTTATTTTTTGTGAAATTAGACTTTGTAATGTTCACTCCTTTTATAAATTAAAGAAAAATAGCTCCTCCAGAGCTATAAATTGATTTATTTTCAATAAAATTTGACTTATATAATGTAAAGTTTGCTTATATTTATTGAGAAGAGTAGATTGCTCCCCCTTGCATTGAAGATGAGCAATTTTAGAATAAAGAATATTCTATATGTGTTTACTTTACATTTTAAATGCCAATAGCACCTCCTTAATAATAAGAAATTATACTACTTTCAATTGTTTTTGTTTAATTACTATTATTTAAGTTTACAAATTTAGTTTTATTAACATAAAATATATCAGCTTATGAAATTTCTAATGCACAAGGAGAACCATAAGAGGTTATATTTATAAAATGGGTATACATTAAATACACCTAACCTTATACAGAACTAATAGCGCTTCCTCTAAACAAATATATATCCTAAATGAAAGAGTTTGAGATTATTATTTAGTTTTAAATATTTAGTGAGATTAAGTCATTTAAACAATTAATTGAAGTAAAATTCAAATAACTCATTTAAGCATAAAGAGAAGTGATAGAAAAAAAATTATTTTCTAAAACTAAAAAATCTGATTATTGAAAAGTAACATTTTATATTATGATATTTTTGCTGAAATATTAGACCTATTCATTTACAGTATAGTGGTAGGATTGTAAAACACTAATATCAACAAAGTGGTCAAAATTAAGATTTTAAAGGCTTACATTGTAACATCCTTAGAAATTTAATAAAGAAGTAGCTGAACTTTACTAAATAATATCCAATCTTCTTTAAACTGGTCTGCTTTTTAATACTCTTTAAAATTAAGAAATCTTTTTTACTTGGGTGACATTTAAATTTGATATTGAAACAAAATTTGATTTAATTATTTAGATTAAATTTCCTTGTTAAATATTTAAATTTTCAATATAAAATTGCTAAAACTAAATATTCTAACAATCAACAAATTTAAATACTGCTTGTGAGAGAGAACAATTTGCTATATTTAATCCAGTAAATGTGATATTTGTTATTTATTGGAATAAAAAAAGTGGTTGGTTTAGATTTTAGATATTTTTTATCGTCAAATTAGAGATTAAAATGTTAGTCACATTCATAATAACAATAATACTAAAATTTCCTGCATTAATTTGATTTTAAATGTTAATTGAATCAAATATTAACTAATCTAAATTGTTGATCATTAAGCTAGATTAGGAATCTATATCTAAAACAAAATCAATGTCACTAAAAATCAGAGTTTTTAGGTTTCCATATTAATTTAGCATAAAATTGCTTTAATTTAGATTTATATTAAGCGATATTGTTTCAAAAGTAAGTGCATAAAATTACGGTAAGATAAAATTGCTATCAGTTAAATTAGCAATACCTTTTTTCTCTAACGAATTTTACAAAACAGGAAAGGAGTAAACTACAGTAGTCCATTGAGTAAAAATATCAAAAAATATTTATATTTATTCTAATTTTGATTATTAAATAGTCATTTAAATGTAATACTTTAAGAGATTTAATTTTTGAGAAAATATTCTGCCTTAAATATCTTGATGCTATTTTTAAGAAGAAAAAAAAAATTTTAATGAAGTAGTATTTTAAAATTAGTTAAAAATAATTACTTAAAATGTATTATTATATGCTGAAGGAGATTAAACAAAGTTTACCTATGAATCTATAGAATAGCTACTACTTTCAATGAAATATTTAATATCAAATAAATTGGAATCACTGTAACATTTTAACTATATTTAGCTTGGTAAGGTTTGTTTTTAATCTAAATAAATGATATCAATTTAATATATTGATGGACTATCTAGATTAGTAAATGATTCAATTATTTAAGATTATGAAGAGCTTAATTGTATTAAAATTAAATCATTGTAAAGGATTAATATAAATATATCTTAATAAATATGCATCACATCCTTTATGTTAGAGTATGTAAATTAGTTTACCTTTTTATAATTAATTAGATTCAAAGTTCTTTTGTCAAATATTGATATTTAGAAACTACAAATCACATAAAAATAATTTTCATCTTGTTTTAGCTGTAAAGAATTATAGCATGAAGTGGGTAAATTACCTATAAGCTAGTTTGATTACATATTAAAAATCCTTATGTTTATATTTGTTGCAATAACTAAAGTATAAGATTAGTTATATGTGATTGTTAAAAAATCTAATATTTAATACCCAGTTTAGTTGAACTGAAAATATAATTTAATATTTTAAAGATTATTTTAGCTTTATAAATCATAAACCTATAAAAATTATTATTAACTTAAGACAATTATATTCTATCCAGATAATAAAATCTATTTTATTAAAAAATATATTTAATAAAATAATAAAATATATTTCCTCTAAAAATTCAAAGTTTTTAAAATAATTTTTGTCCGAATTTAAAATTGATATTTACAACTCACTAAAATTAATTATAATACCTTGTCTGTTTACTATGGAAGAGAAATTACAGTTGATATTTATAAAGTTGATGGATTTAAAAGAACCATTTTTCCTTCAAAGCTTATAAATGCTAATACCTCAGAACTTAAAGCATAAAGTTCACTAACTTAAATTTAAATTAAAGATTGATTAGCAATTATACTAAAATCTAGAAGAGTGTAATTAAATTTCTTCAATACATTATTGTTTTCAAGACAGTAGATATCCTATGAGTAGTTAGAAAATAGAATGCAGTTAAATGAAGAAGAAAGATATTTTATTTATTTATCTAGAACAAAATCATAGATTAATAACTCACTATTTGAAGTTATAGCAAGAATTGTAGAAACACTTATTCTATAAAGCTAAACAAAATATTAGGTTGCAGATAGAGATTGATTAAATTTTAGCTAATGAAGAATTTAGAAATTATCAGCTCTAAAAACATTCAGAAGGTTTGAATTATAGTTAGCATACAAAATTGCCTAAGTATCTTAGCAATAAATAAAGCGATTTTGATTACTTTTGAGTGAATTTTGAAATAAGTTTGAAAAAATAGGAGTCCAAATTTCAAGTAGTTAAAAATAGACAAAATTTCCATACTAAATAGCTAAAGTATTTGATAATGGAGAGTAGTTTATAATATTTGAATAATAATACATATTATAATCTAAACTACCTAGATAATTTAATGTAGAAAACTAAAAAACATTCAATCTATTTTATGAAGTTATTATGATAGTATCTAAGTCATCTTCTATGAATATATATATTGGAATAAATTTCAGATTGTTTGATTAGAACTTAAGTCCTTAAAATTGAACGCTTTAAATTTAGCAATTTGAATAATTTAAAATGCTCAAGCCTTATGAATTTATGAAAATAAATACCTATTTTTTATATGAAAAAATATTAAAAGCTTAAATAAATATTTTTCTCTAACAATAATTTTAACAAATTTATTATATTTTAAAAAGAAAAGGAATAAATATAACCAATAATGAAAATTATAGAATTTGTACCTTTTACGATAAGAATTGTTGAGACTTAAAAGCATTTGAAAAATAATATTCACACTATTAAGTTTAATTATAATTAAATGCTTTAAAAACAGAATTTTATCTATCAAATTATAAGATGAGACTGATTTAACTATCAAAATAGACTTGCTAAGAATTATAGTGCTATAAAAATTAACTACTCATTTTCTAATTACAAATGATTTAATGTTGGTTATTTTCTTTAACTTCAAAAACCATAAAGGTTAGTTAGTTTAATATTAGAACTTAATCGTTTTAAAATATGAATTAGAACTAATCATTGAAACCAGCTTGATAAACATCTTGCAATTAATTTATTTGCTGAGAAAAATAGTCATATAAATATATTTTGCTATCATTACTTGAATTTATATTTAATAAAATTATATTTTTTGATAAAGAAACTCCTAAATATTGGAGCTATCCCTTCTACTAAGGCAGATATAAATTTAACTTCAATACTTCAGAGAATTCTCTTTTTTAAAATAAAACCTGATTATCTAAGTTGACTGATAAAAAGGCATCTAATTCTTATATATATAATACCTAGTTTTAATTAATAAAAAGATGCTTTTAATTAAATTATAAATCTACAATCTCGAATTGATTTTATTTGTTAGTACCAAACAGATATTTATTTTTAATGATCTTATATTTAGACATCTAATAACTTAGATTTGGATTATGACCTATATTTAATATTTTTAAAATGTTAAGAAGAAAAGAAAAATAAATAAATAATTGATTACCAAATATTAGATATTCATTAGTTTACAAATCAAAGTAGTAGTTATTATTATTGGAAATGATCATAACTTCATATTCATATTTAGATGAATAATAAAAATTACTATCAGTATTATGAATATCTGGTATTGTAAAGTTATTACATCCAAGAAAATTGTTAGCTACTAAATCTCCTTACTGATACAAAATAACTTAGGATTTTTATACAATTATTTATAAATTTTCAGAGTAGGACTTCAAAAAAAGTTATGTGAGTTGCATATTTTAAATATTAAACAAGAATAATTGCTTTTTTAATGTAAAAAAAAATTATTAAAAATAAGAATTAATGAATGATAAATAATGAAATTACATTAGTTATATTTTTTATGAGGATATATGTCGCTCCTTGCAATTGTATGAAGTCTGTATTTAATGAAAAAACAGTAGGCTCTGGTAAACTAAAGCTCAAAGCTTATAAACTACTAAAATTATATAATTAATATATATTTCCTTACTGTGTAATAAATTAAGCATCATTTTAGAATATTATATTGCTATAACTGATTTTTTGGGTATTATAAGTATTTAAATCTAAAATAGTTATTGTTGAGGCTCCTAGTTGATATATAGGAGGCATAATTAATAATTTATTATATTAAATATTATGTATGGTTTTAAGCATAATAAGTTCATCTGATTATAAAGCAATAGTTTTAAGCAAATAGTTTTATTTTTTAATCCTGTTAAAAATAGAGTAACTCAAATTATTTTAACATGAGTTTATTATAATCAAAACATTGTTATCTATTAAGCTGAATAAATATTATGTAAAAATATTATCAATCTGATTTAATTAAGAATTAGCAAAGTCATAAGTATAGACAATGATGTAATATTCAATTGTATTGATATAAATAGTGTCACTTTAAACCTAAATAATTACATCTTAGTTATCTAATTAAAACTAAGGGCTAGCATTTATTTAGAAAATGTCTGTTTGATTCTAAGAGATACAGAATATCCAAATAGAATCACTGTAATAAATTCCAACAAATAATCTAATAGGATTTTGTTGCTTGATTAAGGAAATGTAAATGCTGCCACCTTAGATTTAATATTAATACATTTAATTATTTTTAAAATTTATTATAACAAAATTATAATTGTTAATATTGTATTAGTAGGCTATGACTAATTAACAATCAACTAATTCAGCTTTCATTATTTGCTATTTTAAATTTTTTTCGATTAACAACCTCTGTCCATTTATTTTAATAACTCTAAATCCACTATTAAAAACTATTGCCATAATATTGAATTCTTCAGAGTAAAGTATTTTGAAAATTCCATTCATGTAATATGCCGAATCTTAATCTGTAAAGCTACTAAAGTAGATTACCTGGTTCTGATTTGCAGTTGATGATTTTATAACCAATAACTGATTTTTGTAAGACAAAATCGAAGTTTAATTATTAATAACTTAAAACTAATTAGAATCTATGTTGAAATTTGGATATTCTATTGATTATAGGTTTATTTAATACTAGCTATTCTATGAAAAGCCATTATTGTCAAAGTTCAGTGACAAAATCTAAATATTATCTTTTGCTATCTAGTAATAAAGAGATTACTTTTTTGATAAAAACTTAGAGTGACCAAATAAATAGCTGCTACCTATTATGTTAGAGAACAAGAAAATCTAATTTTAGTTACTTTCAGTTTCAATCATACTATTTTGTGGACTTATGTTTATTATTTCATATCCTTTTTACAATAAAGCATTTAGTGTTAAATAAAAATGTTATTTTTTAATTTTCAAAGTGAATTATTTTTAAACAAAAAAATCAAATATTATTGAACTAATATTTACCAATAAAAATAAAAAGTAATAATTAAACGAGAGCTTAAGAATTAAAATAATAAATAAAACTCTTTAAAACAAAAATTTAAATAAATTAAAAATTGTTTTTAATTTATAATCCAAAAAGAGATCTGTTTCAAAGAATTTTTTAAAGGTATTATTGTTGAATTAGTTTAATTAAAACAAAATAATTTCTATTACCTTTTGTGCTTGCAACAATAAGATAGTTATGATCATCTGTAATGACATATTCAATCATTTAATACGAAATTTAGGCATAATGAGGCTTATCCTTTTTATCATTAATTAAAGAATAAATTAATTATTATTTTATAAATTGATAAAATTTTACATATTCAAAATAATATTCTTAAGTAGTTGTATTTTATGTTAGATTTGCACATATTACTGCTGATTAAAAAATACCATTAAATGTATCATGTTTAATTATTACAATTCTCTTCTTTTTATCATAATTAAATGCTTATAAAATTAAAGTATCATTAAAAACCTGTTAAGGTTAGGCTTGTATTAAAACATTTTTATTTAAATCATAAATATTTGTGTTGTTAACATTATCTATTAAAAAAAAGAATTAATTATCTAACTCTTCATAGAAGAAAGGACTTTTGGCATTTTAAAATGAGTTAACTATTGCTTATTAGCTAACTAAGCTTTCTTATAAGTAGTCTCTTTGAATTATATTTACGTTTTATAAAGTTGGATTTTTCTGTTAAGTACTATTTTATATAAGCATACATCCTTAACTATCAGTTACAGTTTAAACTTAAGGCAACTTCTAATTGTCTTAAGGTGAATCAGGCTAGTTTGTAGAATTGTCGTCAGCAATCTGAAAAAAATATGGATCAAATTAAACACTTATTTGATTTTAGATTAACTGAGTTTATATTTAACCAGTTGAAAAGGTTAAGATACTAATATTTAACAAATTAGGTGAACTTGAAAATAAATATTTTTAGGAAAATGCAAATATAAAATCATTTGTCTCAAAAATAATTGTAAGTTATTAAAGAAGAATATCTATTTTTTATACATTGCTATTAGAAATCAAGTAAATATTTTGATCATCTTTTATTACTCTCACATAAGAGTTTTTCAAAGCTAGCTAATTCAATGGTATTAATTCTGGGTAAGAGTAAAAAATTGAGTTTTTACCATCAAGAGTAACAACCTATATTTAGAAATGTATTGTATATATTTTATTAAAATAAATAATAACATACGAATGACTTTTTATCTATCTAATCAAAATAGAATACATATTAGATATCTCTTTAAATAACTTTATTTCTACTTGATAAAGTCTTAACTTCGCTGATTTTTTTCAGGCTAATGCAAGTTTTATCATTTTAGTTTGAAGTTCCAGGACAATTAATTGTGCAAAGACCTGTGGAAGGATTGTAGAAACTGTAATCATTTATTAGGCATTCACTTTTCAAACAATTTTTTTAGTCACTTGATAACTACCATCCTTATTCGCATTATTTGCATAATTAACCATCAAATTAGCAAACTTTACAGTTTTCTACTTGGCATTCTATACAAAATCCAAAGTAATTCACCTAAGATTGATTTCTTTGACATTAATCTACACATTAAGCAGTGCTTTGTACCTTAAATTTATTTTAAAAGTTTTTTATAGTCATTTTTAGGTAAATTTTTTTTACATAATACTAATTATTTTGACATTATTAACATGAGGTGAAGTCATTGCATATTTTGCAATTATTTAAACAGCTACCACAACTTTGTGAAGCTAAATCATAGTAAGTATCTTTAAGAGTACAATCTTGCAGTGTTTAGCTATACATATACTTCAATCCTAGGATGAATATCAAAAAGAGTTTATACATTTATTTATACCTCTAAATTATTTAGCTATTTTATTTATCTAAAGTAAATTAAAAAAGTTTCTATAATATTAAGATTAATTGATATTATTTTAATGTATGATTCTTTAAAAGAAATTTAGACTTAATTACAACTATTTATTAATTTTCTCAATAATTTATATGGTAAATACATTGATTTAAACATTTAGAATGAATTAATAAATATCTAAAGATCCATTTATTTTAGTCTTTAGAAACACGAATTTTGAAAAAGTAAGTCTATTTATTAAGAAAAAGTCTTATTTAGCTTAAATGATTTTTGATAATATTAAGTATGGAGGAGGTGATTCACAAATATATTAGAGCATTAATAATAGCATTTTTAAGATTTAGGGTTAAAATTGAATATATAGATTAGATTGTAATTTTTTATGGTAACCTATATCTCTGAAATTGTATATTTAATTAATAAAACAAGGACAATGATAAAGTTTGATTTTTCATTTTAGTATTAATATAGCAAAAACAATTAAATTAGTAAAACACTCCCAATATTACAATTCTTACAATAGTTCTACCACAAGAATTGTTATCCTAGAAGTGCTATTTTTTTTATTTAAAAAATTATTTCAATCAAAACCATCTACAAACATAAAAATGAAAAAATTACAAGTATAAAAAAAATTTATTATTATTTAATTAATTAAATGAAGAAAATATTATTGTCTATTTATCATTCATTCTAATTTTTTCTAGATGTTAAGATTGTATAGCATAAACTTATTTGGAGCAATAATATTATCGAAAATCATATTTTATGCCATTTCATGCTTTAGAAATTAATAAATTATTAAATAAATAAATAAATTTTTTAATAAATTACCTTTTTGAATTCTTATTCAAATATTATAGTGCTTTCATGAGAGCTTTCAAGTTGACTAGGCTTATTTCATATAAATTTAAGATTATAATTATTTAGAAAAGAATTAAATTTTTTTACATTCTATGCAATAGGAATATTTTATTATCTCCTGTTTGTGATGATATTAAATTATTTGAATATTATTAATTATCCAAGCTCTAATTTAAAAATAAATAAAAATGATTTTATTCAAGTTTGTTTAAATTTAAAGATATTATTAACATTCAATATGAAATTTACCAGATTTTTGTAGTCTTTTAATGATATTTGTATGTTTTCAAAGATTTGTTGTTATTCTAATTTTGTTTACTATTGAGAAAACTCCAATTTTAGATTATCATTTTTTAGTTTTAGATTTTTTTATAAATCATTCAATTTTAGAAAGTTATTTGAAGAAAATATAAGAGATTTTAAATCTTGAATTTCTCTTTTTTAATTACAATTTATTTATTCTAAGTTGTCATTTTTCATAGTTTTTTCTGTCTGTTACTAATTGTGAATATTTTAATTTTTTAATGAAATATTTTTAATTTAAAATAACTTTTTTCCAAAGAAAATGAACTCTAATAAGCTTAACTTATCTTATCCTTAATAATCTCAAAAAATTATACTTTTATTTTAGTTTTAAAAATTTTTATTTTATAGAATTTACTATTGACTTTGATTTGTCTTTTTCGAAATTTATTTCTCCAACGAGAATGATAAATATTATTTAAATAGAATTAATATTTATTAGAGCTATCACAACTAAAATGATTTTGCTTAAAATTTTACTTTCAGTAAAATCATTTATAATTACAAAAAGCATCAAATAGCTATAAATAAGCCTCTGCATCAAATTCTTCTCTTCTTAGTAAATATTTACATTCTAATAAGGCTTAATTCTTTATAATTGCTAATTATAAAAGGAAATCAAGCAAATTAATAGCATGAGCTTGATATTATCTTCCAAAACTATATTTATTAGTATCATCAAAAAGAATTTATAAAATATTTTGACAATTTCCCAATACAGAAATTAATTCTTATAACCAGTATACAAAAATCCATATTTAATGATATTTTCTACCTTCTAAGATATTTATAAATTTTATTAATCAACCTTTTATAGCTATTTAAGCTTAGAATACAAAAAATAAGGAACAAACAAGCAGAAAGTAACTACTAAAGGAATAACCATTGTTGATGCATATAGTAAATGATAATAGTCATAGCATTCTTAGCTATAATCAGACGTTAAGTAGTATTTGCTTCCAATTTTTATGCATATCAAGCTTTCAATCAGTATTTTAGACTATAAATAATAAAATTAATATAAAAAAATAAAGAAATTTTTTTTCAATTTTTTAGCTTTAATAAATAGATTTTATATATTCAATTATTTTATTTTTAAAAAGCTAATAAAGATTAAAATTTTAGTTTATTACTATTGATGGCTGATAGAAAATATAAATGAAAACTAAGGTCATTTTAACCATTTGATGGAATTTTTTAAGAGCTTATTCCTTCTTTTTATATGATCTAAGCTATTTAATCAGTAATAAAATAAGTGTTAGGAGAAAAATAATGATTATAGAAAATATCTAAATTATTATTCTATTAAGCCACAAAGGATATTTATCACTTATTTTAAATAAACAGTCGAAGGAAGTTATTGTTATATTAATAGGATTTCCCAATAAATTAACAGGATTTGATAAGAAATGTTCTTTTAATATGCTAAAATTAGCTATACATGACAAAATCTACAAATAATTTATGAAGATTTTGTACAATAAAGAAGACTCATTTGCAGATGAACTCAAGTTACTTGTTACCAGCAATTAAATTTATTTAAAAATTTTTAGCTTCATAATTCTTATTTTAGAGGCAATAATATTATGTTAACTGAATGCTATATAAAATACATAGAAAATGATAAAAAAGCATGCGAATGCTATTTAATTTAATTGTTAGTTGCAAGGAAAGCAATTTTAGCCTTTAAGACCATATTATTGACCCCAAACCTTACTTTTATTATCGCAGCTATTGCAAAGAGGACCTAAAAATCCAGTTAAGCATCCATTTTTACTTTGAGGATTACTAAAAGAACAACTATCTAATAAACAAGCATAAATCTAATCTGTTAAATTACTCTCTCTCCAGTAGCCATCCTTTAACTAAATTTCAGATCCTTAACAGAATTGAGCTTATTATGGACATGATATACATTCAAGATCATTGATATCCTTCTTCATATCAGGAATTTTTAATGAGTATCTCCCTTCAACACATTAACTACACCTAAAAAAATTTTTTAATTTGTTAATAAAATCATTTAAATTAATTAAATAATTACTAAATGAATTAATTTTTTTCTTAAATAATCTCTCCTATTGTGCAGTTCCTATAATACAAGTGTAATGGAATAATTAAAAATACACCTTATTAAAACTAGTTAGAAATAATGCTTATTGTTTGATTTTAAGATATTTTGTAAAATGATTAAAAGTTTAATTCAAACATTCCAATTGTTTTGTTAAGCAAAGCACTCATTCCCTCCTAAATAACTATTTAACTATTATTTTAAATGTAAAGCTAAAAGTAGAATTAACTTCTATCATAAAAAATATCAGGTCCTACAAAGTTGAAAGAATTGTTTTCCTCATCTATAAAATTTAAATATAATTTTTTGTCTAAGTAATTTCCACTTGAGATATTTTAAATTGAGTATTCTTCTACTATTTTTAGAGAATCTAAATGAGGTTTATTTGTTATTCCTATATTTTAAGGAATTGATCCAATATTTTACCCATAAAAAGAGGCTGTTTAAAATAAAAAAATATTGTTAAAATGAATTTTAAATAAGCATTTTTAAAGATTTTTTATATTTAATTTATTATTAGTTCTATTTATCATAAATCTTCATAAACTAAAACCAAAATATAGCCCCTCCTGGTTTTAAAGTTCTTATAATTGGTTAATAGGTAGGTAGATTAGAGTGCAATTTTTTTTTTGGTTACCCTCATATCTGAAATTATATATTTAAATAATAAAACATGGAAAATCATAAATTTTGATATATTACAAAAAACAATTAAATTAGTAAACCACTTTGAATTGTAATCCTAAAAGTGTTATTTTTTTAATTTAAAAAACTATTTCAATAAAAACAGCCTTCAAACTTAAATATGAAAAAATTACAAGTATAAAAAAATTTATTATTCTTTAATTAATTAAATGAAGAAAATATTGTCTATTTGTCATTCTAATTTTTTCTAGATATTAAGATTGTATTGCATAAACTTATTTGGAGCAATAATATTATCGAAAATCATATTTTGTGCCATTTCATGCTATTGAAATTAATAAATTATTAAATAAATAAATAAATATTTTAATAAATTACCTTATTGAATTCTTATTCAAATATTATAGTGCTTTCATGAGAGCTTTCGAGTTGGCTCGGCTTATTTCATATAAATTAAGGTTATAATTATTTAGAAAAGAATTAAAATTTTTTACATTCTGTTCAATAATAATAATTTTATATTTTCCGTTTCGCGAGGATATTAAATTATTTGAATATTATTAATTATCTTAGCTCTAATTTAATAATAAATAAAAATTATTTTATTCAAATTTGTTTAAATTTAAAGATATTATTAATATTTAATACTAAATTTACCAGATTTTTGCTGTCTTTTAATGATATCTGTATATTTTCAAAGATTTCTTGTTATTCTAATTTTGTTTACTTTTTAGAAAACTCCAGTTTTAGATTATCATTTTTTAGTTTTAGATTTTTTTATAAATTACTCTATTTTAGAAGGTTATTCGAAGAAAAAATAAGAGATTTTAATTCTTGAATTTCTCTTTTTTTGTTAAAATTTATTGATTCAAAGTTGTCATTTTTCATAGTTTTTTCTGTCTGTTACTAATTGTGAATATTTTAATTTTTTAATGAGATATTTTTAATATTTAAAATAACTTTTTTCCAAAGAAAATGAACTCTAATAAGCTTAACTTATCTTATCCTTAATAATCTCAAAAAATTATACTTTTATTTTAGTTTTAAAAATTTTTATTTTATCGAATTTACTATTGACTTTGAATTATCTTTTTCGAAATTAATTTCTCCAACAAGAATGATAAAAATTATTTAAATAGAACTAATATTTATTAGAGCTATAACAAATAAAATGATTTTGCTTAAAATTTTACTTTCAGTAAAATCATTTATAATTACTTAAAGCATCAAATAGCTATAAATAAGCCTCTGCATCAAATTCTTCTCTTCTTAGTAAATATTTATATTCTAATAAGGCTTATTTCTTTATAATTGCTAATTATAAAAGGAAATCAAGCAAATTATTAATATGAGCTTAATATTATTTTCCAAAACTATATTAATAATTATCATCAAAAAGAATTTATAAAATATTTTAACAATTTCCCAATACAGAAATTAATTCTTATAACCAGTATATAAAAATCCATATTTAATGATATTTTCTACCTTCTAAGATATTTATTAATTTTATTAATTAACCTTTTATAGCTATTTAAGCTTAGAATACAAAAAATAAGGAACAAAAAAGCAGAAAGTAACTACTAAAGGAACAACTATTGTTGCAGCATATAATAAATGATAATAGTCATAGCATTCTTAGCTATAATCAGACGTTAAGTAGTATTTGCTTCCAATTTTTATGCATATCAAGCTTTCAATCAGTATTTTAGACTATAAAATAATAAAATTTATTAAATTTTAATTTAAAAATAAAAAATAAAGAAATCTTTTTCAATTTTTTAGCTGTAATAAATAAATTTTATTTTTTAAAAACCAATAAAGATTAAATTTTAGTTAATTACTATTGATGGCTGATAGAAAATGTAAATGAAAACTAAAGTCATTTTAATCATTTGATGGAATTTTTTAAGAGCTTATTCCTTCTTTTTATATGATCTAAGCTATTTAATCAATAATAAAATAAGTGTTAGGAGACAAATAATGATTATAGAAAATATCTAAATTATTATTCTATTAAGCCACAAAGGATATTTATCACTTATTTTAAATAAACAGTCTAAAGAGTTGATTGTTATTTTAATAGGATTTCCCAATAAATTAACAGGATTTGATATGAAATGTGCGTTTAATATGTTAAAGTTAGCTATACATGACAAAATCTACAAATAATTTATGAAGATTTTGTACAATAAAGAAGACTCATTTGCAGATGAACTCAAGTTACTTGTTACCAGCAATTAAATTTATTTAAAAATTTTTAGCTTCATAATTCTTATTTTAGATGCAATAATATTGTGTTAACTGAATGCTATATAAAATACATAGAAAATGATAAAAAAGCATGCGAATGCTATTTAATTTAATTGTTAGCTGCAAGGAAAGCAATTTTAACCTTTAAGACCATATTATTGACCCCAAACCTTATTTTTATTATCGCAGCTATTGCAAAGAGGTCCTACAAATCCAGTTAGGCATCCATTTTTACTTTGAGGATTATTAAAAGAACAGCTATCTAATAAACAAGTGTAAATCTAATCTGTTAAATTACTCTCTCTCCAGTAGCCATCCTTTAACTAAATTTCAGATCCTTAACAGAAATGAGCTTATTCTGGACATGATACGCATTCGAGTTTATTGATATTATTCTGCATATCAGGAATTTTTAATGAGTATCTCCCTTCAACACATTAACTGCACCTAAAAAATTTTTTAAATTTGTTAATAAAATCATTTAAATTAATTAAATAATTACTAAATGAATTAATTTTTTTCTAAAATAATCTCTCCTATTGTGCAGTTCCTATAATACAAGTGTAATGGAATAGTTAAAAATACACCTTATTAAAACTAGTTAGAAATAATGCTTATTGTTTGATTTTAAGATATTTTGTAAAATGATTAAAAGTTTAATTCAAACATTCCAATTGTTTTGTTAAGCAAAGCACTCATTCCCTCTTAAATAACTATTTAACTATTATTTTAAATGTAAAGCTAAAAGTAGAATTAACTTCTATCATAAAAAATATCAGGTCCTAAAAAGTTGAAAAAATTGTTTTCCTCATCTATAAAATTTAAATATAATTTTTTGTCTAAGTAATTTCCACTTGCGATATTGTAAATTGAGTATTCTTCTACTATTTTTAGAGAATCTAAATGAGGTTTATTTGTTATTCCTATATTTTAAGGAATTGATCCAATATTTTACCCATAAAAAGATGCTGTTTAAAAAAAAAAATATATTTTAAAAATGAATTTTAAATAAGAATTTTTAAAGAGCTTTTAAATTTTTAATTTATAATTAGTTTTATTTATGATAAATCTTCATAAAATAAAACCCAAATATAGCCCTTACTGGTTTTAAAATAAATCATAAGAATTCACAACTTGAATAGCTAAAAGCTGAGAGCTGAGGTGTAGAGTAAATGAGGAATTAAGGTATGTAATAAATTTAATAAATTTTTCTGAGTTAATGATTTATTTATTATTAAAAAAATTAAATAAAAGCTTTACCTTTATTATGCTTAAAGATTATATTATTTTGTAGAAGATTAACTTTTTTAATCAAATTAGAATTAACTTTGTAATAGTAAATGGAACCTCCAATACTTGCTTTATTAGATGAAAATATATCATCTGAAAATTATAATAGATCGCATGTATCTAGTGAAATTGCTCCACCATTTTAGAATAAAGCTTTGTTTTTTATGAAATTAGACTTTGTAATGTTCACTCCTCTAAAAAATTAAAGAAAAATAGCTCCTCCTGAGCTATAAATTGATTAATTTTCAATAAAATTTGACTTATATAATATAAAGTTTGCTTATATTTATTGAGAAGAGTAGATTGCTCCCCCTTGCATTGAAGATGAGCAATTTTAGAATAAAGAATATTCTATATGTGTTTACTTTACATTTTAAATGCCAATAGCACCTCCTTAGTAATAAGAAATTATACTACTTTCAATTGTTTTTGTTTAATTACTATTATTTAAGTTTACAAATTTAGTATTGTTTACATAAAATGTATCAGCTTATGAAATTTCTAATGCACAAGGAGAACCTGAAGATGCTATATTTATAAAATGAGTATACATTAAATACACCTAACCTTAGACAGAACTAATAGTGCTTCCTCTAAGCAGATATATATCTTGAAAGAAAGAGTTTGAGATTATTATTTAATTCTAAATATTTAGTGAGATTAACCCATTTAAACTATTAATTGAAGTAAAATTCAAATAACTCATTTAAGCATAAAGAGAAGTGATAGAAAAAATATTGTTTTCTAAAACTAAAAAATCTGATTATTGAAAAGTAACATTTTATATTAAGATATTTTTGCTGAAATATTAAAGCTATTCGTTTACAGTATAGTGATAGGATTGTAAAACACTAACATTAACGAAGTGGTCAAAATAAAGATTTTAAAGGCTTACATTGTAACATCCTTAGAAATTTAATAAAACAGTAGCTGAACTTTACTAAATATTATCCAATCTTCTTTAAACTGGTCTGCTTTTTAATACTCTTTAAATTTAAGAAACCTTTTTTACTTGAGTTACATTTAAAGTTGATATTGAAATAAAATTTGATTTTATTATTTAGATTAAGTTTCCTTGTTAAATATTTAAATCTTCAACATAAAATTGCTAAAACTAAATATTCTAACAATCAACAAATTTAAATACTGATTGAGAGAGAGAGCAATTTGTTATATTTAATCCAGTAAATGTGATATTTGTTATTTATTTGAATAAAAAAAGCGGTTGGTTTATATTTTAAATATTTTTTATAGTCAAATTAGAAATTAATATGTTAGTCACATTCATAATAACAATAATACTAAAATCTCCTGTATAAATTTTATTTTAAATTCTAATTGAATCAAATATTAATTAATCTAAATTGTTGATCATTAAGCTAGATTAAGAATCTATATCTAAAACAAAATCGACATCACTAAAAATCAGAGTTTTTAGGTTTCCATATTAATTTAACATAAAATTGCTTTAATTTATATTTATATTAAGCGATATTGTCTCAAAAGTAAGCAATTAAAATTATGGTAAGATAAATTTGCTATCAGTTAAATTTGCAACACCTTTTTTCTCTTACGAATTTTACTTAACAGGAAAGGAGTAAACTACAGTAGTCATTTAAGTAAAAACATCAAAGAATATTTATGCTTATTCTAATTTTGATTATTAAATAGTCATTTAAATGTAATACTTTAAGAGATTTAATTTTTGAAAAAATATTCTGCCTTAAATATCTTGATGCTTTTTTTAAGAAAAAAAATTTTAATGAAGTAAATAAAAAACATTTTATATTGATTAAAAATAATTACTTAAAATGTATTAATATATGCTGAAGGAGACTAAACAAAGTTTACCTACGTGTCTATAGAATAATTACTACTTTCAATGAGATATTTAATATCAAATAAATTAGAATCACTGTAACATTTAAACAATATTTAGCTTGGTATGGATTGTTTTTAATCTAAATAAATCATATCAATTTAATATATAGATGGATTATCTAGATTTTTAAATGATTCAATTATTTAAGATTATGAAGAGCTTAATTGTATTAAAATTAAATCATTGTAAAGGATTAATATAAACATATCTTAATAAATATGCATCACATCCTTTATGTTAGAATATGTAAATTAGTTTACCTTTTTATAATTAATTAGTTTCAAAGTTCTTTTATCAAATATCGATATTTAGAAACTACAAATCACATAAAAATAAATTTCATCTTGTTTTAGCTTTAAAGAATTTTAGCAAGAAGTGGGTAAATAACCTATAAGCTAGTTTGATTACATATTAAAAATCCTTATGTTTAAACTTGTTGCAATAACTAAAGTGTTAGATTAGTTATAGGTGATTGTTAAAAAATCTAATATTTAATACCCAGTTTAGTTGAACTGAAAAGATAATCTAATATTTTAAAGATTATTTTAGTTTTATAAATCATAGACCTATAAAAATTATTATTAACTTAAGACAATTATATACTATCCAGATAATTATATCTATTTTATAAAAAATATATTTAGTAAATTAATAAAATGTATTTCCTCTAAAAATTCATATATTTTAAATTATTTTTGTCAAAATTTAAAATTCTTAATAAAATTAATGATAATTAATAAATACCTTGTCTGTTTAATTTGGAAGAGAAATTACAGTTGATAATTGTAAAGTTGATGGATTTAAAATAACCATTTTTCCTTCAAAGCTTATAAATGCTAATACCTCAGCACTTAAGGCATAGAGTTCACTAACTTAAATTTAAATTAAAGATTGATTGGCAATTATGCTAAAATCTAAAAGAGTATAATTAAATTTCTTCAAGATGTTATTGTTTTCAAGACAGTAGATATCCTATGAGTAGTTAGAAAATAGAATGCAGTTAAATGAAGAAGAAAGATATTTTATTTATTTATCTAGAACAAAATCGTAGATTAATAACTCACGATTTGAAGTTATAGCAAGAATTGTTGAAACACTTATTCTATAAAGCTAAACAAAATATTAGGTTGCAGATAGAGTTTGATTAAATTTTAGTTAAAGAAGAATTTATAAGTTATCAGCTCTGAAAACATTCAGAAAATTTGAATTATAGTTAGCATACAAAATTGTGTTAGTATCTTAGCAATAAATAAAGCGATTTTGATAACTTTTCAGTGAATTTTGATATAAGTTTGAAAAAATAGGAGTCCAAATATCAAGTAGTTAAAAATTGATACCATCTCCATACTTAATAGCTAAGTTGTTTGATAATGGAGAGTAGATTATATTATTTTTATCATCATAATTCTAATAATCTAAACTACCTAGATAGTTTAATGTAGAAAACTAAAAAATATTCAATCTATTTGATGAAGTTATTATGATAGTATCTAAGTCATCCTCTATGAATATATTTACAACAGCAGGCCTTTGATTAATTGATTTAAACGTAAGTCCTTAAAATTGAACACTTTAATGTTAGCAATTTGAATAATTTAAGATTGTCAAGCCTTATAAATTTATAAAAACAAACACCTATTTTTTATATGAAAAAAAAATTATTAGCTTAAATAAATTATTTTTTTCTAACAATAATTTTAAATATAAATAACTAATGATGAAAATGAATTATTGATTTTATACCTTTTATGATAAGAATTGTTGAAAGTTAATAGCATATGAAAAATAATATTGGCACTTTAAAGTTTAATTATAATTAAATGCTCTAAAAATAGAATTATGATCATCAAATTATATAATGAGATCTATTTAATTATCAAAATAGGTTCGTCCAGAATTATAATTATAGTGTTATAAAAATTAACTATTCATTTTCTAATTACAAATAATTTAATGTTGGTTATTTTCTTTAACTTCAAAAACCATAAAGATTAGCTCACTTAATAGTAGAATTTTATCGTTTTGAAATATGAAATCGAACTTATTATTGAAACCAGCTTCATAAGCATCTGACAATTAATTTATTTTCTATGAAAAATAATCATATAAATATATTTTGCTATCATTACTTGAATTTATTTTTAATAAAATTATATTTTTTGATAGACAAATTCCTAAATATTCTAGCTTTCCATCCTACTAAGGCAGATATAAATTTAATTTTAATATTTCAGAGAACTCTCTTTTTTAAAATAAAACCTGATTATTTATGTTGTTAACTGACAAAAATGCATCTAATTCTTAAATATATTATACCTACCTTTAATTAATAAAAATATGCTTTTAATTAAATTATAAATCTACAATCTCGAATTGATTTTCTCCGTTAGTACCAAAAAGCTATTTATTTTTAATGGTCTTGTATGAACGCATCTCTTCTTGATCTCGTTGTGTATCATTATCTATTTATAATATTTTTAAAATGATAAGAAAATAAAATTATTATTTTGTAAATTATGTCTTTTTTATAATAATTAAAATTGATGTATTTTTATTATTGTAAATACTCATATATTATCACCCCGTTCCCAAATGAAATTTTAACATCTTTAAAGGGTTAATAGGGATAAGGTCTAAATAAAGTTGATTATTTTCATCAAATAGTTGAAGTATTTACTAAATATGATATAAAATAAATAATTGATTACCTAGTACTAGATACTGATTACTTTACAAATCAAAGTAGTAATTTTTATGATTTGCAATCATGAAAACTTCAAATTAATATTATTATAATCCATAAAAACTAATATCAATATTAGGAATATCTGGTATTGTAAAGTTATTACATCCAAGAAAATAGTTAGCTACTAAATTTCCTTTCTAATACAAAATAATTTAGGATTTTTAAATGATTATTTATTAATTTTCAGATTAGGACTTCAAAAAAAGTTATGTGAGTTGCATATTTTAAATATTAAACAAGAATAATTGCTTTTTTAATGAAAAAAAGATTATTAAAAATAAGAATTAATGAATTGTAAATAATGAAATTACATTAGTTATATTTTATATGAGGATATATGTCACTCCTTGCAATTTTATGAAGTCTGAATTTAATGAAAAAACAGTAGGCTATGGTAAATTAAACTTCAAAGCTTATAAACTACTAAAATTATATAATTTGTATATTACTTATTAAACTGTTAAAAATTAATCATCATCATAGAATTTTATATTGCTAAAACCACTCTTCTAAATTTTATAAGTATTTAAATCTAAAATAGTAATTTCATTAAATCCGAATTGATACTTATGAGGCATAATTAATAATTTCTTATATTAAATACTATGGATGGTTTCTAGCATAGAATTTATATTAAATGGACCAAAATCTTTAAGCAAATAGTTTTATTTTTGAATCCTGTTAAAAACAGAGTAACTTAATTAATTTTTACATGAGTTTAATATAATCGAAACATTATTATCTATTAAGCTGAATACATGTTATGTATAAATATTATCTATCTGATTTAATTAAGAATTAACAGAGTCATAAGCATAGACAAGGATGTAATATTCAATCGTATTGATATAAATAGTGTCACTTTAAATCTAGATAATTACATCCTAGTTATTTTTATAAAAGAAAGGACTAGCATTTATTTAGAAAACATCTGTTTGTTTCTTTGAGATACAGAATATCTAAATAGAATCGCTGTAATAAATTACAAGAAATAATCTAATAGGATTTTGTTGCTTGAGTAAAGAAATTTAAATGCTACCACCTTAGATTTGATATTAATACATTTAATTATTTTTAAAATTTATTATAACAAAATTATAATTGTTTATATTGTATTAGTAGACTATGACTAATTAACAATCAACTAATTCAGCTTTCATAATTTGTTATTTTAAATTTTTTTCGATTAACAACCTCTGCCCATTTATTTTAATAACTCTAAATCCACTATTAAAAACTATTGCCATAATATTGAATTCTTCAGAGTAAAGTATTTTGAGAATTCCATTCATATAGTATGCCGAATCTTAATTTGTAAAGCTACTAAAGTAGATTACCTGGTTCTGATTTGCAGTTGATGATTTTATAACCAATAACTGATTTTAGTAAGACAAAATTGAAGTTTAATTATTAATAACCTAAAACTAATTAGAATCTATGTAAAAATTTGGATATTCTATAGATTATAGGTTTATTTAATACTAGCTATTCAATGAAAAGCCATTATTGTCAAAATTCAGTGACAAAATCTAAATATTGTCTTTTGCTATCTAGTAATAAAGAGATTAATTTTTTGATAAAAACTTAGAGTGACCTAATAAATAGCTGCTACCTTTGTTAGAGAACAAGAAAATCTAATTTTAATTACTCTCAGTTTCAATCATACTATTTTGAGGACTTATATTTATTATTTCATATCCTATTTACAAGTTAAATTTAAATTTTATTTTTAAATTTCAAAATGAATTATTTTTAAACAAATAAATAGGGAGGGGATCGCAGCAGGTATAAATAATGAATGAAAAAAATTAGCAGGGAATATTCGAAGATCTTCATTCAAATACGAAGACATTCCGCACTTTGACCCACCTCCCAAAATAATAAATAAAACAATCTTTAAAACAAAAATTTAATTTTAATTTTTAATCCAAAAAGAGATCTGCTTCAAATAATTTAAAAAATTTTTTTAAATTATTTAAATTTAGACAAAATAATTTCTTTTACCTTTTGGGCTTGCAACAATAAGATAGTTATGATCATCTGTAATGATGTATTCAGTCATTTAATATGAAATTTAGGCATAATGAGGCTTATCCTTTTTACCATTTATTAAAGAATAAATAAATTAATTACTTTTTTATAAAATGAGAAAATATTTCATTTACATATTCAAAATAATATTCTTAAGAAGTTGTATTTTATGTTAGATTTGAGCATATTACTACTGATTAAAAAATACCATTAATTGTACCATGCTAAATTACTACAATTCTCTTCTTTCTATCATAATTAAATGCTTATAAAACAAAGGTATTACCAAATGCCTATTAAGGTTAGGCATTTATTAAAACTTTTTTATTTAAATCATAAATATATATGCCTGGATAATCTTTAAATAAAGATAATGAATTATCTAATCCTTCAAAGAAGAAAGGACGGTTGGCATTTTAAAATGAGCTGACTATTTTTTATTAGCTAACTAAGCTTTCTTACAAGTAGTCTCTTTGAATTATATTTAAGTTTTATAAAGTTGCATTTTACTTTTAAGCACTATTTTATATAATAATACATCCTTAACTATCTGTTTGAGTTTGAACTTAAGGTATCTTTTAATTGTCTTAAGGTGAATCTGGCTAGTTTGTAGAATGGTCGCCATTAATCTTAAAAAATTATGGATCAAATTCAACATAAATTTTATTTTTGATTGACTGAGTTTATATTTAACCATTTGAAAAGGTTAAGATACTAACATTTAACAAATTAACTGAAAATGAAAACAAATATTTTTAGGAAAATGCATTTATAGTTTCATTTGTCTCAAAAATAATTGTAAGTTATTAGAGAAGAATATCTATTTTTTACACATTGGTTTTAGAAATTAAGTAAATATTTTGATCATCTTTTATTACTCTCTCATAAGAGTTTTTGAAAGCTAGTTGATTCAATGGTATTAATTCTGGGTATGAGTAGAAAATTGAGTTTTAATTATCAAGAGTCACAACCTATATTTAGAAATGTATGTATTGTATTTATTTTATTAAAACAAATAATAACTTACAAATGACTTTTTATCTATCTAATCAAAATAGAATACATATTAGATATCTCTTTAACTAACTTTATTTCTGCTGGATAAAGTCTTAATTTCGCTAAGCTTTTTCAGGCTTATGCAAGTATTATCATTTTAGTTTGAAGTTTCAGGACAATTAATTGTGCAAAGACCTGTGGAAGGATTGTAGAAACTATAATCATTTATTAGGCATTCACTTTTCAAACAATTTTTTTAGTCACTTGATAACTACCATCCTTGTTCACATTGTTCGCATAATTTACCTTCAAATTAGCAAACTTTACAGTTTTCTACTTGACATTCAATACAAAATCCAAAGTAATTCACCTAAGATTAATTTCTTTGGCATTAATTTACGCATTAACCAGTGATTTGTTCCTTTAATTTATTTTAAAAGGTTTTTTTATAGACATTTTTAGGTATATTTTTTTTACATAATACGAATTATTTTAACATTACAAACATGAGGTGAAGTCATTACATATTTTGCAATTGTTTAAACAGCTGCCACAACTTTGTGAAGCTAAATCATAGTAAGTGTCTTAAAGAGTACAACCTTGCAGAGTTTAGCTATACATATATTTCAATCCTAGGATGAATATTAAAAAGAGTTTATGCATTTTTATCTCTATGCTATTTAGCTATTTTATTTATTTAAAGTAAATTAAAAAGTTTTTATAAAATAAAGATTAATTGATATTACTTTCATACATTATTCTTTAAAAGAAATTTACACTTAATTACAACTTTTTATTTATTTTCTCAATAATTTATGTGGTAAATAGATTGATTTTTTACATATATTTAGAATGAATTAATAAATATCTTAAGATCCATTTATTTTAGTCTTTAGAAACACGAATTTTGAAAACTTAAGTCAATTTTTAAAGAACAAGCATAATTTAGCTCAAATGATTATTGATAATATTAAGTATGGAGCGAGCAGGTGATTCACAAATGTATTATAGCATTAATAATAGTATTTTTAAGAGTTATATATTAGGATGGTTTAGCAATGTGGTAAAAAAAATATTCCTTATTAAATATCAGAATAAAAAATAAAAGAATGAAGATATTAGAAACTAATTTAGATAGAGCTTAGATGATAATAAACTATTTGCTAAAATTGAAAGATCTCCATATATTTTTTAATTAGAATATTTTCCTTAAAATAATGATTGATATTGATAATGTTTCAAATAATTAGAAAGAAATTTGGTGGGGTTTTTAGGTCTATAAAACTAATTAATAAAAAAAAGATAAGCATCGTATGCATTAACTATAAGGTATTTAATATTACAAATTTATTTATATATTTAATTTATTAGAAACTATAGACTCTCAAATATTAACACCAAACCCCCACCTCCAAAATATAAAATGAAAATTAAGATGTTAAAATAAAAACTAAAGTTTGATTTCTCCCTAATGTTCTAAATAATTATATCTAATTAATCATGGTAAATAAAAAATAGGGATAATATTTAAGATTACAGTCTAATTAGAATTTAAAAGATTTGCTTTACATAATTTAATAAGATAAAATATAAGACTACATTTTTTAAATAATTTGATTGTTTTTGGCATAATGAAGGGCTGGCTTAAGAGGAATTCATTTATTTATGTAAATTTAATTGTAAATTATTTTATTTTTATAAACTAGTTTTAACTTACAAAAAAATATGTAATATTTATATATATAAAAACAATAATAAAATTTATATATTTAAAAGGTTAAAAAATATTTTTCAAAATATTATATAATAAACAATAAATATTCAATTATTCAAATATTTATTATTTATTCATCCTTTTTTAGCCACTTGTTTATCATCAGAATTTCTTTTGAAAGACGACAAATCTTTTGATTTAAGGCACTTGTTTATTAATTTGAATTTTTAAGATTGATCCATTTGGTTTAAACTTTTATTATAAATTTGTATAAATTTAAAAAATATATTAAATAAAATAAATTTTTAATATATATTATTTCTTAAGTTAATAAATAAAATAATTTATTTTAGAGGAATCATCAAAAAAGGTAAAAAAATAAATCAAATAAAAGCTAAATTGGTGATTAATATGTATCAGACTTAGGTTCTTGCTTTATCAAAGTGTATTAATCTCTCAAATTTGGCGCTTAAAATTTAGTAAAAATAGTTTATTTATTTTGGATTGTGATATTTTTATTTATAAAACTAATTTAAAACAATAAAGCTCTTTGTATTTATTTGATTTATAGCGACTCGAGTGGACAAGTAGGAGGGTCTTAGCAATGTTAAAGTGGTTCGAATCCTATACTGCCCCTTTATTTTTAAAAATTCCATGTAAATGCGAGTGTTACGAGCAGTAGATTTTTGTTGTCTTTTAATGATTATTGTATATTTTCAAAGATTTCTTGTTCTTCTAATTTTATTTACTATTTAGATAACTCAAATTTTAGATGATCATTTTTTAGTTTTAGATTTTTTATAAATCATTCTGTTTTAGAAGGTTATTCCAAGTAAAATAAAAGATTTAAAATCTTGAATTTCTCATTTTTAATTAAAATTTATTTATTCATATCTAAGTTGTTATTTTTCATAGTTTTTTCTGTATGTTACTTACAGTGAATATCTTAACCAACGAGAAAGATAAAATTATTTAAATAGAGCTAATATTTATTAGTGCTATCACAACTAAAATGATTTGTCTTAAATTTTACTTTCAGTAAAATCATTTATAATTACAAAAAGCATCAAATAGCTATAATTAAGCATCTAATTCTTCTCATCTTAGTAAATATTTATATTCTAGTAAGACTTATTTCTTTATAATTGCTAATTATTAATATGAGATTTATATTATCTTCCAAAACTATATTAATAATTATCATCAGAAAGAATTTATAAAATATTTTAACAATTTCCCAATACAGAAATTAATTCTTAAAACCAGACATAAAAATACATATTTAATGATATTTTCTACATTCTTAGATATTTATTAATTTTATTAATCAACCTTTTATAGATATTTAAGCTTAGAATACAAAAAATAAGGAAAAAACAAGCAGAAAGTAGCTATTAAAGAAACAGCTATTGTTACAGGATATAATAAATGATTATAGTCATAGCATTCTTAGCTATTATCACATATTTTGAAGCATTTTGCTTCTAATTTTTATGCGTATCAAGCTTTAAATAGGTATTTTAGACAAAAAAATAATAAAATATTAATTTAAAAGCAAAAAATAAAGAAATCTTTTTGAATTTATAAGCTTTAAATATTATATTTTTTTATTGAATTATTTTATTTTTTAAAAACCAATAAAAAATAAAATTTTAGCTTACTATTGGTAAGGTAGCAATTTTAGTCTTTAAGACCATATTATTGACCCCAAGCCTTATTTTTATTATTGCAGCTATTGTAAAAAAGACCTATAAATCCAGTTAGACATCCTTTTTTATTTTGAGGATTATTAAAAGAACAACTATTTAATAAACAAGTGTAAATCTAATCTGTTAAATTACTCTCTCTCCAGTAGCAATCCTTTAACTAAATTTCAAAACCTTAACAGAAATGAGCTTATTCTGGACATGATTTTACATTCAAGTTTATTGATTTTATAGTATTATTTAAATATTAAGCTAAAAGTAGAATTAACTTCTATCATACAAAATATCAAGTCCTACAAAGTTGAAAGGATTATCTTCCTCATCTATAAAATTTAAATATTATTTTTTTCTAAGTAATTTCCACTTGTGATATGATAAATTGAGAGAGATTATGAATTCCGGGGTCTTTTTGTGTACACCTCTGGGGGGGAAAAATTTAAAAAAATTAAATTATGAAATATTTTTAAAAAAATTAAAATTCACAATTTTATAACTTGTCTTATTAAAAGTTTATCTTATATTAGAGGAGAGGCGGTATACAAAATATATTTAAAAATGATTAAATAAATATAATTAAAAGAATCTACTATTATTAGTATTAAAATATAAAACTATTTTTTATGTAGAATTAGGTATAAAATAAATGTAAAAATATTTAAAATATTGATAGACTTTAATCTTCGATTTTTGAAACTCTCTAATATCTAGTATTAGATGTTGAATAAACCCATTTTCTTTTTTAACTAGTATGACATTATTTTATATTCAAAAATAAATAGCTCTATTCAATATTTTAGTTAATTCAAAAGTGATTAATAAAAAAAATATTTTAACTCATTCATTTAACATACAAAAGAGTATTGATTTATTTTCATTTATTGAAATTTATCTTAAATTTTTCATATTTCAATATAGTTTTATATAAAAGATAAAGTTATAAAAACAAAGATTTGCATACATGAAATCATCAAATCCAAAGTTATTAAGCAGAATTCATTTTAGAAACGCTTACATAATTCTATAAAATTAGAATAAATATTATTTTATTAAATAATCAATAGTAAATTTATAAGAGGAATTTAGTCATTTTTTTTAATACGAAAAAGTTTCAAAAATTCTTTAAATGGTTTCTTCTATAAGCTAGTTATATGCTTCATCTATATTTAATTTATATAGTGATGATACTTCAAAAAACAAAATTCCATAAGAATCTGAAAAAGATTTTCCTTCACTAAAGCTAACTTGTCCATTAAAAGGTTAATCTAACTTATTTCCAAGCAGAAGGTAAGTAAATTTCCTATCCTTTATTTTCATAGATTCAAAATAATATTTAATCATTTCTTCAAAAGAATTTCTATCTGTAATATCATAAACCAAAACTAAACAACCGCCTTTCAAAATCAACTTAAAATAATTTTTCATATTACCAGCTCCAAATATTTCATGTTCTAATGTATCTATTTTTTATTTACTTATTGGTTAATTAATTAAATTATAGGTTTTGGCTTAAACATTTTATATTGAAAACAAATATTTTTAAAATCTATTTTTGCTTAATACTTGAATATAAGTATTAAGTTGTTTAAATAATTTAGATTAACTATTATTTGAGCAGAAATTCAATGATTAGAATCTGAATTTTCTAGAAAAAATTTTAATTATATTATCTAACAAAAGGTAGAGAGAGAATTAAATGATGATATTTCAATTAAATAAACTACTTTTTAGATTTTAATGCTATAAGGGAATTAATTATCAACTCCACAAAATTTTTGAGCAATATTTGATTTACCCACTGATATTTTTCCTCCAAACAAAATAGTTATAAAACTTTCTTTTATTATTTATTCCAGTTTCAATTTTGAATTTATTAAATCTTTGCTAATTAAATTATTTATAAACAATTTTGATAATTTTAAAATTAAGGCATGCATAAAAAATAGAATATTTTTCTATATTCTTTTCTAAATTTAATAAAAAAATTAATTTTAACAAATCTTCGCTGATTATATATAGTACATCCAAATTTTAAATTCGTGTGGATGTATAAACACAAAAAATTAATTAATTACTGGATTAACTAGTTAATTAATTGTATCAATAATTTTATTTTAATGTTTATCATAAAACTTTAGTTTTTTTATTTATAATTTGAATATGGTATTTCAAATGTTAAATTTTATATTTAACAGATATTTATTTAATAATATATTATGCTTAATCATTTAAAAAAATAAACGATTTAAAAAATAATTAATTTCCAAATATTTTTCATCAACTATAACTACTGCAATTTTTTTTTGTAACCCTTAAGTCTGAAATAATATATTTAAATAATAAAACATGAACAATCATAAAGTTTTATATTTTATTTTAACTTTAATATTACAAAAAACAATTAAATTAGTAAGGTACTTTGAATTGTAGTTCTAAAAGTGTTAATTTTTAATTTAAAAAACTATTTCAATAAAAACATTCTACAAACATAAAAATGAAAAAATTACAAATATAAAAAATTTATAATTCTTTAATTAATTAAATGAATATAATATTGCCTATTTATCATTCTAATTTTTTTTAGATGTTAAGATTATATTGCATAAACTTATTTGGAGCAATAATATTATCGAAAATCATATTTTGTGCCATTTCATGCTATTGAAATTAATAAATTATTAAATAAATAAATAAATAAATATTTTAATAAATTACCTAATTGAATTCTTATTCAAATATTATAGTGCTTTCTTGAGAGCTTTCGAGTTGACTCGGCTTATTTCATATAAATTAAGGTTATAATTATTTAGAAAAGAATTAAAATTGTTTACATTCTGTTCAATAATAATAATTTTATATTTTCCGTTTCGCGAGGATATTAAATTATTTGAAAATTATTAATTATCTAAGCTCTAATTTAATAATAAATAAAAATGATTTTATTCAAATTTGTTTAAATTTAAAGATATTATTAATATTTAATACTAAATTTACCAGATTTTTGTTGTCTTTTAATGATATCTGTATATTTTCAAAGATTTCTTGTTATTCTAATTTTGTTTACTTTTTAGAAAACTCCAGTTTTAGATTATCATTTTTTAGTTTTAGATTTTTTTATAAATTACTCTATTTAGAAGGTATCGAAGAAAAA